AAGTGGACGGAAGCCGCGAAGGTAGAGGGGGGAGTACCCTGGCATGCGGCGGTGCTGCAGGGAGCTGAGAGGTTCATGACCTCCTGGCACGAGAAGGAAGAAGAGGCCAGCCGATAACGGGCGCTCAAACGAAACCACAAGCCAACAACCAATGGGGCGGAAGGTGGGCAGGAGACGGACGAGACGGCGAGGGAAGAAAGCAAACGAGAAGAGACGGACCGAGTGGCGCGATACGTGCCGGATTGAATTTCTTTTAGCCTATTCCCCCCCCCCCCAACGCTGCACCATTGCACCAACCCCCCACTAGTGGTGACGTACCATTACAATGTATCGCTGGTTGGTGGCATGTTTGCGTGCTTGCTTGTTCGTTAGTGGTCTCTCCACCGTGTGCCTTTTTCTGTCTCTTACATCTTGTTATTTTCGGCCTGATTGCATTTTGTCTTCGTTCTTTATATTTCATTTTCTCTTTCCTTATTAGGCCACTTGTTACGCTGTCTCTTTTTGGGCTGTCCCTTTTCTCAAAAAGAGACAAAGTTGCCCAAAAAGGGACAGGATGGGGTGATCTTTTATCGCTGTCCCTTTTCGGGAGGTTCAAAAACGCAAAAAAAGACCACGTAACAAGTGGTTTTTGGTCAGTTGTCCCTTTTTGAGAAAAGGGACAGCCCAAAAAGAGACAGCGTAACACTGTTTCCTTTTATTTTCTTCTCTTTTTCTCTTTTCTCTCTTTTTCTCTGTGCCAGATGGCCTTGTCTCTGCTTGCGTTGTGAAGTACCAAGATTGAACCAAGGGGGTGTACCTCTTTCTCTCTGGTCCGTGATGGTGAATCCTAGTCTCAGTTGTTGCCTCGCATAGCGCGCAGTTGGGAGTGGAGGACTCCATAATATCTGTCGTTGATTTCTAGTGACTTGCGGACCCCTCGGGGCCATTTTATTTGAGTGTACCTTTTTAGGGTAAGTTAGCCTGCGACCACGGGAATCGATCGCGTCGAGTGTTGGATCAGTACGGACGTACGAGGGTACTGGGTAGAGAGAGATCGGAACGGTTTTTGATGCGAAGGTACAACAAAAACAACAACAACAACAACAACTCTGTTCCTCATATTACAGTCTCGTTTTGCAGCTACCAAGCTGGCGGTTCACGAGCTACCCCGATCTCACGACAGCAGTAACTCCCGACCGCCAAACTCAGGATCCCCCTCTCAAGAGTGCTAGGGACCTTATATCCGTCTTTGCTGGGTGGTCTTTCGAGGTCTAGATCCACTTGCGGAACCTCGGCCTAACCCAGGGACGGGGGAGGCAGGCCGGGGAGGAGAGCAGTTTTTTGGATAAGGATGGTTTTTGTAAGGGCGGACCAATCAGAGGGCTTCAAATCATCAAAAACAGGTTCTCCGAGTACCCTTTAGCACCAATCAACACTGCCTTTGTACTTTTGTAAGAATTCCGAATTTTGCAAGGACAGAACCAAAACAACGGGGCCGCAGCACCACAGCACGCACCTCGACACACTACACCGGTCGCTCCGGTGGTCTAGTGGGTAGCCTCGTAGCCTGCTAAGGGCCAGGTCATGGGTTCGAGTCCCGACAGAGTGATTTTTTTCTCGCAAATTAAATCCTGGTCTCCATTGGAAGCGACGCGCTGCAAAGCTCGTTGTTAGCAAACTTGATCGACTTCATAAGTCGCGAGGGAACGGATTGCTCTACCCCTTCTCCCGATAAAAATATCTCAGGCAGGAACCGCAGGAGGGGGTCCAACTCCCCCCTCCAATGTGACCCCGGTTGGGTCGTCTAGCTAGTAGAAGTGGACGATAGGGGCCAGAAGGGCAGACGACAGAATCCAATGATGGGAGAACAACAACACAACAACAAACACCGCGCTGCAGCATAGCACACCCCTCTACCACAGACATACGGCATCGCGCCAGGGAGACGGGGCAAAGACAGCACTGTTGCCGCTGCCAAACAGCACACAGACACACTGCTACCTAGCATTACACACAGACAAACCACGCCAGAGACAGGTGGATGGAGGGGACAACAAGCACAGCGACACGGCCCCGGCAGCATCGATGCACCATGTGGTATGGCCGCATATCTCCCCTCTACGTAGTAGTCGCTGTTTTCATCTCTTGGGCGTGCGGGCTACCCTGGGAGGGTGAGCTTTATGTGGGCCGGCTCCGTCCTTGCGAAGCGACTCAGAGGCACAGAGGTGATACCTGGTATGTTGTTGTTGTTGTTGTTGTTGTTGTTTCTCACATTAGCTCCAGACTGTAGACTAGTCTAGTCCACAAAAAATGCGGAGCCCGCGGTTTCAAAACCCGGCACATAGACTATGTGGTAAAGGGTTGATTGCTAGAGTACAGGAGGAACAGAGGCAAGGACCGGAGAACCCTTTCCGTGCTGCCGAGCCTGGCGCCAGCAGCTGCGATCAACGTGCTTCCAGGAGAGCTGCGATCAACCTGCTTCCAGGAGCTAGTGGGTGTCATGGTGGTCTGCTGCTGTGCACCTATGCTATCTGGTCGAGGGCTGCATGCCGGCGCTACTCTTGCATCTTTGCCCACCGATGTGCCTTTGCGCAGCATTCTGCGTCAACACCGGGCTACATCCCGGCGCTGTTAACGTTGCTATACCCACGGATATAACTGCTGTTGTCGTGGAAGCAACGCCAACACCCGTCCCCATTCCGATCCCCTACACCGAGCTTGGTTCTAAGCGAGGTCCAATGGGCACCACCGCCGAGGTGACAGCGTTGAAGACAGGGCCGAACGGAAAGACCGCCGCAACTGAAAACGCGACCAGCAACTCAGGGAACATCACCAGCATGTTTCTCGTTGTCCCGTGCTACCACCCCGTGCCAATGTTCTACCTCAGCGGCGGGATGAAACATACAGCTGCAGCCGATGTCGTGAGGACAGTCCGAGCAGTAGCATTACGGTAGGAGGGGGTCTACGAGGGCAACAGCAGGAACACCACAACCGATACCGACTTCGTCTCGTCTGGAAGCAGCGGCGGCAGTGGTGGCGACGGCGGTGGCAGCGGGGTGTCAACAAGGCTCCGATCCATCGACGAGGTCAAGGGGGCGGTTGAATCAAGCATGAAGCACGAGAATTGGAGAGCCGCGCGGATCTGTGAATCCCTTAGGATGACGGACGGACATTGCTCCCTCTGCCGTCGCTACAAAAGGCCGGTGGTAGTACAAGAGTAGACTAGGGGTGGTAACGAAAGAGGCTGTTGTAGGATTTGAAACTGTTCCAATCTATCCGTAGTCCATATTTTGAGTGCTGCTGCTGTGTAAGTTTGAGCACGTACTTCTTAACAACATGATGAGACGATCGCCCGTTGTTGGTCGACAGCACGTAGGTCCTTGACACTATCCGCACAAGAAGAGCTTTGAACAGTTTTTCCTGACTCTGTATGAACCATCGGTGGAGTCCTTGGGGGTGTTCGTGCAGGTGCCAATATATATCTAGGACGACATAGAGTACTTTCCTGTCCGCAGTCTTACGAGCGTGGGCAACGGGATGGGTGAGACGCCGAGGAACGCCGACCGTTTCTTGGAGAAGATGTTTGCTATATGATCGGGTCCAGGTATGCCTACCGACACAGCCGTTAGATATTTGTTTTTGGAAACACGCCGAACTCTTCTCTTGATGTGTGCTGTAGGTTGCCAGAATTCGAATTTGCAGATGCCGCGACATACATACAATCCACGTTGAATCTTCTATCTTAGTAGGATGATGGGTGCGCGCAGCATGCTCAGCGCAGGCAACTGTGTGGGTGCTTCTTCATACACTGCTAGCGATTTTCAGAAACGGGAAAGCTCGATATATCAGAGCCAAGGGTTCTACGCCTTGCCACCACCCCACCGCCAAGCAAACTCTGTGGTACACGATTGCAAGTATTGCAACGGTCGGCACATTTTGCACGTGAAATCTTTAAGAGAACACAGACTCCTTCCATGAGCGACCGCTAATGTCTCCGCTGAACTACGTAGCACGAGGTCTCCAAATATTGGAACAACGCCATCCCTCCAGATCGCAAGCTGCACGTACCACCGGTTGAAGGGTGGGGGCAAAGCGGCTCCTTACAGTTGCAACCATGGGCATTAATATCGTTCACTCCGCAGAATCGTAGAAAAAGCGTTTTTACACTCCTTTCACCTTGTTTTCCACGTACAAGAAGTTTCGACAACGACAGGGCAATCCGCCGCACGGCATGTTACCTCGTGGGCTTCATACAACACGCCATGGCGAACGGCACGCCCTGTCCTCTGTATCGCATGAGCGAGGCGAGCCAAGGCGATGCCAGACTATCATGTCAAAACAACGATTTCGATTCCGAGAGACAAAACACCAAAACGACGACCGCGCACGAATTGCGAATGCCCAATGCCTTCCTGCTGAAGTATGGTCCACTGATGCTCATTTCGATGACACATATATTCTGACGGTGGACACTTCGTTTAGATACATCTGAGAATTCTACACTACTCCCGCCCCTTCCTCTTCTTGCCCTGCCTTTGGTAGTTGTTCACCACGTCCACCATGTCCGGCTCCTTGTGCACCACGCAGTAGACGGCCGTCTTCCCCCCTGCCTTCCCGAACGACGGCTGGCGCTTGCAATCCGGATCGGCACAGCGAGGGTGCCGAACGTTGACCATGCCTGCCGAAGAAACGACCGAAATGATTTTCGTCAGAACCAACATGCCAGTTTACCTAGGGCTCTTCATCGGCGAGGTGGTGACGCTGAAAAATTCATCATATTTAGATGAGGAATCAAACAATGTACGACAACACAGCACATCCACGTTGAGGAAAACAACACATGGTCAGTCAAACTTGATCATATTTTGATGAGAAGCCGAACAAATGTACAACGCATCCAGGGAGCGGACAACAACACATGGTCCGTCTGAGCCTCAGATAGATGCACACAAAGGCCGGTCGAGGCGCACTAAAGTCAAATACTTCGCTTGGTAAACAGTTTCCTACAAATGTCATCGTGGCCACGTTGAGCCGCTAGTTTTTTGGACAACGTCGTTACCGACAGAGTAAGTTCGTACAAGCGCAGCGTGTCCAGAGCAAGCTGCGAACGATTTTCCCGTGGCTAAGGTCGCCTAGGTTCATACGAATTTTACACATGGCCTTTTTGCGTGACACCAGAACCGTAGGCCTAGGCCGCTCCTCACGTCCCTCCTTTCAAGTATATGTATCACTAAGCGAACCGTCGCCGTAACACGCCACTGTTCTGAGCAGCGATCGTTCTTGGAAAGGCGCAGGCACGAACACCCTCACCATCTGCCGCCGCACTCCTTCCGCACTCAACCCACCTTCGGCCTTGTGTGCGTTGCAGTAGACCGCCTTGGCGCCCACCATATCGTAGTTGTACGAAGGGATGCGGTCGCATGACTCGTCCTCGCACCGCTTGCTGATCACGTTAATCATGCCCTCCTGCTTGTGCTTGGAGCAGTATGTCGGGGTCGCCCCACGAAGGCCGAAGTATGGAGTCAGGTAGCACTCTGGCCCTCGGCATCGCGGAGTGTTGAGGTTGATCATGCCTACACCAGCAGCAGCAACAGGAACAGGAACAGGAACAGCAGTATCAGCAACAGCAACAGCAGCAGCAAAGGGACGAGAGGAACAGCGATACCGATGGCAACAATTTCCCTTGTCCAACGGTACCCTTCTCGCGATAAAAATACCTCAGGCAGGAACCGCAGGAGGGGGTTCAGCCCCCCCCTCCTATGTGACCCCGGTTGGGTCGTCTAGCTAGTAGAAGTGGAGGATAGAGGCCTGAGGGGGGACGACAGAATCCGATTATGGGAGAAAAAAAAAAAAAAACATCGCAATCTCCCTCCATCTGGTAATCACGAAAAACAAATGTACGTGCGACCAAGCTCAACAGATAAACGATCGCAAATGTCTGGGCTGGCGCTTGAAACATCTTGCTCGTTGTATCAGTCATGCACGCCCGACGGCACGGTGTTGCGACCAGCGCACCCAGTCAGAAATATACCTCACTAAAGGTGGGTGGGTTTCATTATCGTTTTTGGAAACATGTAAATTATCAGTTTTGGGGACGCCATAGCCAACTCGTTGTTCAATGAACACGATACACGATGTGCCACATACAAGGCGCGAGAACGGTGTAGAACATCATGTACCCCTGGTATGACACAAACCAAGCGCACGGAGTGCCAAGGCAACAGCGTCCACCTTGGGCGAGGGCCTACCCACCACTTTCGAAGAAAACAGTAAGTACGAAGAGACCATGAACAACGGCACAAGATCAAACGAAACTGAAGAATAGTGCGAAGCAGAACGAACACTCTACGAGGTACGCTAGGCCTACAAATTGACCAGTAAGTTGACCACAGTCGGATGAACCACGATATGCATCTTTGCAATATTCAGCCTACGCGCGAACTAGAGTAGAGGATATGTAGCTCACCCTTCTGCTTGTGCTGAGCGCAGCTAATGCGCTTGCCTCCCTTGAACCCGAAGGAAGAGTTCCGGTTGCAGGCATTGAACCCTCCGGGCGCAACGCGGCAGCTCCGAGCGCCCTTGTGATAGTCCTCATACCCTGGGGGCTTGTGCGCCGCGCAAAACCTTATCCTGCTATTGCCCCCCGGCATCCTGAAGCGAAGGTACAAGTCGTACAAGCAAGGAACGCATGTCGACGCAAGCCGTGCATCAATCCGAGGACCAAGCGCGCATCGTACAACCAAACACGCGACGTCGCAACCGTCCATCGGTACAGGATATTGTGCCCTGAGCCACGGAAGGGCCGTTTCGTGGCAAGATTGTTCCCTACAGAGCATATGTAGAGCATTCGGACAAAGGGCACGTCATCCCGTTTCAAAAATCCCCACTTGCCTGAACGACGGTATCCTGGAGCAGCCCTCTCCATCACATCGACGAGACGTTATGTCCTCGTGCCCTTCCAGCTTGTGGGATGCGCATCGCGACGCTCTCTTGTCTCCTGGAAGGTTTAGCAAGTGACGGTTCACAGTGAAGGGCGGATTGTACTGCACGTGTTGCTTTGACCCTGGGGATGAAACTAAAAACGATGAGGGAGAACACATCTCCATTACACCGTCTGCAACGAGGCCGCTCGTCACTAAGATAATTTCGTACCCTTTCCCGTTCTTGCTCTACACCTGATGGTAAGGCCTAGCCGTGGTCGGACGTACCAGGGAACCCGAAGGACGGTCGCCGCAGGCACTTGCTGCCGTCGTCCTCCATTTGGTCGCAAGTCTTTGTCCTGGAGCCGATGGCCCTTGCACTCCCTTCTTCCCGCTTAAGGTTGGGCGCGGGGTTCGTTTGCTGCGGCACGTGCGCGGAAGGTGGTGCGGGGTTGTTGTACTTCCGGAGTCTGAGGCGGCTGCGACTCCCCACTTCCGTCGCAGGGGTGGGAGGATCGGTAACGTTGCCGTTGGCAGGATGCTTCCTTGGCCTGAGACTTCTCCTTCTTCCCTCTCCGTCGACACGCGCGGAGTCGACGGGGGGAGGCATCTGACGGTGGTGCACGTGCATGGCTGAAGCAGCCAGCCGCGGAAGCTCGGTCAACGGAGCAACATCCACCGATGGCCCTGGGTCGCCGACCCCGACTGCTGATGCACCGGAAAACCCAGCAGTTGTCGGCGCCTGATTACAGACCGCTACTGGCGGCTGGATCCCGACCGCTGGTGTTGACACTGCTGGCACTGTTGCCGCTGGGGCAGGAGATGTATCAGCTGCTGCTGCCTTGTGTTGAATGGCCCCACAGCTGCCGGGTTGAACGACCCCCGGCGGGGCGTGCTCGCCAAGTCCTACTGCTCCCGTTGCTGCTGCTGCATCTACTGCTGCTGCTGTTCCTTCTGACAAGGCGGATGCCCCGACCGCGACAGGAAGACGACCCGAACTGCTCTCCTGTGCCGGCAAGCCTGCGCTCAAGCCGGTTGCTGACGCAGTTGCTGCATGACCACCGCACCCCGCGTCCGAAGGCCCTAACCCGCTACCATCACCGGCGCCACTCAGACAACGACCAAGAGCAGCACCAGCAGCGGGAAGCGTGGAAACGACTCTGGAAGAGGCACCAGCGTGTGGTGGCCTTCCTGGCACAGGCCGCCGAACTAAACTCGCTTGGTTCCCCGCCCTGCTTCCCTCTCCATTGGATATGCTTGTTGATGGCACCTCAGGGATCCCGCCTCCCAGCCTCCCGTCATTATCGCCACGGCAACCACCGCCAGCACCTCCCGCGCCTGCTGCCACGCCATCACCCCCGCCTTCCTGTTCTGGCGACTCCCTTACACAGAGCGCTTCTCGTTTGACCGGACCTGTCGACAGCGTGTCAGAGGTGTCCGAAGTGGCAGCGGGGATGCCGTCTTCAGTTGCGCGAATCGAGCCTACTGAGCACATGCGTACAAGAAGAGCACCACAGGGGGGCTTGGTTCGTCCTGATCACGTGACACGTTTCAAAGACGCCTACGTGCAACTCTCCAGGCACCTTTGACCTCAATGGATGCAAGGGGAACTGCGGGTTCGCTCGGCAGTGTCGATCAAATTTGATGCTGTTGTTGTTATATTGTCCTCCGCAATAGAAACCGTTCTTACCTCGATTCACCACACCCCGGTGATTTCCACTGGTAAGAGTACTGTTCGGAGGCGAAGGAACCAAATGCACGAAATCACAACCGAACCCACAGCTAGGCACAAATACAACAAATTGAGAGAACAAATAGAGCAAGTCCATTTGCTGGAGAGAGAGGAGGTTTGCTCGGTTACATTGGCAAACACACGATAGCAGAGCAAGGGCAGCCGCAAGCCCCATAACGCAAAGGAACCGATGCCCATTGCTGTATTCCGATGCCTTCCATAACCCTGGTCGAAGCGCACCGCACATGAATAGAGGAAACACGCGTTGTGATAGCCATAAGAAATGCCGCGCCTCGACCTGTGCCAGCATTTGCTTGGAGCCCCACCACCGCTGCATAGCCTGGAGAAGCGGCAAGTCAGCGTTGGCTCTCTCATTGACAAAACTCACCATTTTTTTCAATTACCTTCAAAGGTAGTCGAAAAACATGGGCTTGTTCGCCCAAACACCATCCCCACAACTGCTACAATGATATATACAACTTTTAATCTTCACGTAACTTGTCCCCGCTTCACCTCTTTTCCCTCACGTAACTTGCCCCCGCTTCACCTCTTTTCCCTCCATCGCTTACCCCCTCTCTCCACAACCGGCGGGTGTAAAACCCAACAGCCCAGCTTGCGGCGGTAAAACCGGGTATGCAAAAGGAGCGACAACAACGGGGTGCTGAAAGTCGGTCTTGACTTCGACGGGTTTCGAAAACGGTCGAATGACCACGGGTTTCGAAAATGGTCGAAATACCACCCAGCACGAGATATATAAGACCTGTTGCGCACGACAAAACTTCGCAAAAGGAATGCAGCGGCTGGGACTGTCTCCACCAGCTACCAGGTGTAGTCTACATCCTCTTCCCCTCACCAAGCAAAACAATTGCGAAACTCTAAGTTAAAGATACAACAGGCTACGCGGCGGGTGCTTCATTAGGTTTGTGTTTTCAAGCTCCGACCTTGAACCCTATCGTAAATCGGTACAGGACATCATCGAGCGGCTTTGCGCGACCTGTTGTTGGAGCTGTGCTATCGAAGGCTACAGCAGCGGCCCCAACAGTTCCGAAATCCATACAGGTCAAAACCATCGATCCTTCCAATGCTGCACTCCCCATCAAAGACCCAATCTTGTGAACTGCGGGTGTACAGCAGTAGAACACAGTACTAGCTGCCTTGGATGACCCACAGCTTGGGAGATCAGGGTTTGTAGGCGAGTCAGCAGTAACGAACGTTGGGGTTGGATCCAAATGCCCAGCAGGTTTTGGACCCAGCGGCAGCCGTGGATGTCACCTCGAATTCATAACAGCCCCGGCAACGGATCATAGCGTGTCATCGCGCACGTCGCTCGCCCATCATACCCTCTACCGTCTACTGATACCGTATCTAAGATCTAGAGTCTCCATGTCGGAGGGTCGTGGTTTTGTTTCTATTAGATTTAGACTACTGTAGACTAAGTTTACTTGTTTCATCTGGCGCTCGCCCTTATTGCGCCGCACATTGTTTACCTTCCGCTACGTTTGCCGCCTTTGGCACCGCTGCAGCTCCCGCCGGACTCAGGCCTTCACGTTCTCCCTTGTTGAAATAGTCTTCTGCTGCATGAGAGACCATGAGTGTTGTGCAACCCTTCGTCTGCTCTCTCCTCCTAACTCGCCTTGTCCCCAGCAAGCCCTCTGTCTCTGACGGGACTGTTGGAAAAATAACACACAAGATATCTGACAGCCGGCCCAGGAACGCCTGCAGGTTCGTGCACGGACGTCAAGTGTGTTGCAGTCCTCAGTGGAAAGTTGTGGTCGGAACGAGGACGGAACGGGGGCCGTGGATTGGTGAGCAAGAGCAGTGTGGCGAACCCACCTGCCACCCAGAGGGTGACGGGTGCGACAAGGGGGCAACAACAACCGGAAAAACTGGAAAAATGGTACCTTCAGGCAGACAACAACCCGTGCCCCCCCCAGCGCTAGGATCTACAGGACCCCTGTGTAGGATCGCTTCGATCTACATGTACAGTCTTTCCAGCTGGACCTATCTCTCTACTCCTTTCCTTGGATATCTCCCCTGACATGTATGTGTTATGTGCGTCTCCTCCTGTATTGACTTGTTTGTGGGTAGGCTGTCACACCGCCGTACATGTGCACTAGGGCTGTTTGTCTGCAACAACCAAAACCCTTAGAGACAATAGACCTACGTAGTCTATCTACGTCTTCGTCGATCTGTGAGGGATTACGTGTTTAGACTGCGTGTTGCGTTGATTTCGCTTTGAAGGATAATTAATACTCCAGGCCCTGCGGGTTTCCGGAGGGCGTCCTGACCAGCCAGAACGGCACTGAGTCAACCGATATACGGTTTTGCCCAATATCACCCACTGGCGGATTGTAGTCATAGTGCGTTCTGTATTGCTATTTCAGTGTCTGTCATGCCCACTCGCTACAACTTTTCCAACTTTTCATCGATTCAAACAATAGATCGGCGAGCCCGCTGTTGCCGCTTCCACGTCCCAGCTTTCCCGGCGCACTGCTGGCCCACAGAGAACATTCCAACTATCTGCGTAGGTAATAAGCATACCCTAAGGGTGATCAAAACAGTTCATCAGCAACAACAACAAGCGCAATGCAAGTGTTGAAGGGTTCTAGATGCTACAATATCTGGGTGAAGCAATCATGCGTCTACCTTTTGTCTTCCAATCCCCCCGCCGCCAAATAAATACCCAGAAAAAATCGCCAGTTAGTTGCACCACGGGCACGTAAAGGTGTACACGATCTACAGACCAAAACGCGCAGCTCTGCAAACCAAAACCTGCAGCCGAAGAATTTTTTTTGCACAGCATCCCGAGCGAAACAAATGGAACTGCGTGTGAACGATTTCGGTACCGCTACTGCTGTACCGTGACCATAGCTGTTGGCGCCTTGGCTGATGATATTGCATCGTCGACGACGTATTGCCACATACTACGGGGGCTAACCACGAAGAGGGTATGTTCGTCGGTTCAAGACGCTTGTCAGACGGTACATGTATACACATTCCGCCGCACTAAGGCCAGAGAGCGGTCGACCGGGAAAAAACCAACGTGTCGCGTTCGAGCACACTCTTCGTCCAAAAACGCAAGTTCTGCGTTAACTTGCTTCGAGCAAAAGATATTCAGCCACAACAGCGACAAGCCAACAAAAAACTCGCCCTTCTGTAAAAACATCAACATGCGTTATCCTCGCAATATTAAACACGATTCAAGAGGAGAACAGCAGGTAGCGTTCCCAGTCGCTGCTCTTCATGGAATCGCGATACACCCGTGTACCTCAATCATTCATGAAAAAAAAGCGTTTGTCTACAGTGTTGCAGGTACAACAAGCGTGCAACAACCCTCAGTTCGCTGGGATTTGATTTCCCGAGCTCCATGAGGGACTTATAATAAGTCGACAGTCCATGGTAGCGGCAGCGGCGGTAGCATCTACTGCTGTACGATGCATGGTTGATTCTAAGTTCTTTCGCCATGCCATTCACGCAGCAACCATGCCCGAGGTACTCCGGCAACAAAAGACTGCAGAATAGACCCAAGTGCGCTCTTCGCGTCCAACGAGCTCGTCAATACAGATCACTTCGCCACGCCATCCAAGATCAGGTCTTTGAGCGACGCAGGAAACGCGTCTGCATCGATAGGTTGATTGAAGGAACGCCCAAAGGTCAATCGTTCCAGCGAGGGTGGCCACAACACTCCCTCGATTCGCTGGTTGAATACCCGCCGAAGCACACCTCTTGAAGAGAATCTGGCCACGTTACGTCGTCGATTCGTTGGTCAAATCGGTCGCCAAACTTCAATCGTTGAAGCGAGTGTGGCCATACGACGCCTGTGATGCTTTGGTTGAATTCTTGGCCAAAGGTAAGCTGTTGGAGCGACGATGGCCATGATGTCCCATCAATCGGCTGGTTGAATGCTCGTCCGAAGCACAGCCGTTGGAGCAACGCTGGCCACGATACGTTGTCTAACGGTTGATTGAAAGAACTTCCAAACGAAAGACATTGAAGGGAGACCGGCCACACGACAGCGTCGATGGGCTGGTTGAAGAACGTGCCAAGGGTCAACTCTTCCATCAATGGTGGCCACGATACCGTAGCGATTGGCTGAATAAAGTTTTGGCCGATAGTCAGTCGTCGCAGGGAGCTCGGCCAGCCAGCGCCGTTGCCAATCGCGTGTTTGAAGAATCCAGTCAAGGCTAAATGCCGCAACGAAAGCGGCCACAAGACGCCATCGATAGGCTGATTGAAGAAGGCTCCGAAAACCAACTCTTGCAAGGAGCTTGGCCATTTGACGGCATCAACTCTCTAAGGTGCAGAGTCCGCATGAGCGGCAGCCGCGGTGACCGAAGACGATGGCAGTTGTAGACGATCATAGAAAACATCCGTGGGATCGGGAGCAGGCGACGGAACAGTGGAGTTAGGCAACATGGCAATGCTATCTCGGCAGCAAGTGGATACTATTTGGGGGTGTTGAGATTCAGTCACGTTCTACCCTGAGATGGGTTTTACAAACGTTTTTGGTTTTGGATGCCTGATGACCGGATCTCGTTTTACCTGATCGAAGCAATGCCCAAAGGTGAGCTGTCGCAGCGTTTCCGGCCAATCGATGTCGACCGGTTGATCGAAGTAGTGCCCGATGGTGAGTCGCTGTAGACAGACCGGCCACACGATGTCTTGGATCGGCTGGTTGAACGAAGCCCCAAAACGAACTTCTTCCAGCGACGGAGGCCAAAGGATGCCCTGGATGGGCTCGTTGAACTCCCTTCCAAAGGTGAGCTTTCGCAGAGTTTCCGGCCAGCGGAGCAGGCCCCGCCCTCGTCGGTAGAGCCTCCATCCACAACCTGCATCGAACATCCCTGTACGTGCTCCATATCGGAAACCTCCCTCTGAAAGTCGAGTCAGAACGATCTCTGGACACCAAACCACCGTCAAGGCGCGTACTGGTACAAGAGGCACCCGCGTACAGAGCTCTTTGATTCCGGGTGCCTCTCGCTCCCCACGTAGCCACAAACGGCGTGGTGTATCGGAGGTGACTACCACATGCCACGCCGAAAAATTCCAGCAGGTCCGGCAAGCCACGCAAAGATCCACGCATACGCTCTGAAGGTTCATGGCCGATACATACCACCGGCCTCCTTCGTCAACGGTTGTATCAATGGCTAGGGTCAAGGCATCCAGGCAGAGACTCTGTGCTGCGGTTTTCACGTTGCCGCCTGAAACACGATTGGACTCAGCAGCAGCTCCACCACGCGAGTGCGAGCTCATGAGGATCCTGCGCCACAACAGTAGATGAGACAGTGAAAACACCTGTTTGGTCAACAGAATGTTTCAAGGAGAAGACAACTATTGACAGGAATTGATTGCAGCGGTAAGTACTCGGTCAACACGTGGGAAGTGGTTTCCTAGGCGACCATCCATGGAACTAGAAAAGTCCCAAACATTGGTGTGCTAGAAGTGCGCATCATTCCTCTCTCCCATTCTCACTTTCTCTGTGCCGGACGGGTACAGGTGCCGCGGTACCACTCTCATGTCTAACGTGAATAGGTAGTGCTGGCCAGCGAGGCACCGGAGTGCGGTCGTTTCCAGCATTTCTTCTTGCGTGTTTGCGCACTGCCGGCGAGCACGCCTACCATAGTGCGGCAAATACAACGGAATAATCAGTTCCTTCAAGCCTTTCCTACGCACAACCCGCGCGATAATTTCGATACGTGCGTTACTGAATACCGCCACAGCGGCTTCCTAGGACCAGCAGATTTGCGTTACAAGACCATTGTAATGCATACAGACACAACCTCGAGCAGGTAGACGTCGGCGGCGAAATTGAAAAGTCGGCGAAATAGAAAATCAACTCCCGCCAAAATATGTCCGCGGTGCGCACACCCTACCACGGCCACACACACACGCTGTGCCATGCCACAGTGTGTGGAGGGTTAGGCTTGGTTCAGTGAATTAGAAAACATGCACCGGACATTGAATTAAAATGAGTTTTCCTGCACTTGAGTCGCGACGGTGCAGTACATGAGAGAGTAACGCTCCGGTGATACCCTTACCGCGTTGACATACCAACTCACATCAACCAAAAACATAGCCCAGGTTCTCTGTCCTGTTTTCCTTCTGATCTAACGCCCGAAGCGAAGTTTCAGACGGGCATGATCGCAACCGTCGCGAAAACACCGTTCCCGATGCGGAAAACAAAAAACGTCAATCGAACCATATCGTCGTTGCGTTGATTAGCGTACCCGGTGCGATGAGTCCAACAGGTGTGAATCAGCCCGCCGATGCGTTTCCCCGAACGTTTATGGTACGCCGAATAAATGTGCCACAATATTCAGCAAGAATGCCAGGTCAACAGCAAAACACCACGGTATCCATCTACTCCGCGACACCGATTGGTGCACTCAGGTTTGCACTGTCGTGCTACGCGACCAGGGTGGGAATTGGTAGATCAAGACTTGCGAGGTTGGCTGCATTTTCTCCTTGCAGCGTGCCAAGCGTTCTGGTGCAATATGAGCACCTCGGCACGGTCATTGTCTCTACGGCCGTCGTTCGCGGCTTCATGGCCACACGCAATCAAGCAGGACGCATGTCTACACCATGTGACTACGGGAGAGATCATCCCGCAAGTAGACATCCGTAGGTGACACAATAAACCACAACGGTGTCACAATATTATCGAGGTCCAAAACTTAACACACGGATATGGTATTCTGTACGGGTTGTGATATGCATATGCAGGATTTCCACTTTTTTACTCGTCGCAGTCGTTTTTCTCTGCTGGGACAGCGTTTTTTCTCGCACTTTCTTCTGCATGGCACGCAGAGGACCCGTCGGTGCATTACCTCTTACGTGTGGGGCTCGCGAGACCCCGGTGGTGCGCGTTAGGGCAGCCTCAAGTCGCTGGGACTGGCCCTTTTTTCAGGGGTTGAGAATTCGAACCATAAAAGCTGCCTCGAAAGGCACAAAAACTGAGAACATAACTTTTTTATATCCCGCGCCAAGCGCCACGCGACCACGCGCCTACGCACCTGCTGCTGTGATTGCTGTGCACACAACCACCACAAGGCAACTGGCGCATGCGTACCCACAGCGGGGATCAAGGCTCTTGATGCTCATGGGAACACACCACGCGACACGCAAGTCCTCTCGCACAACTCTGACAGCGGTAAATTTATACATTTCAATTCCGTAAAATCGAAAAAGTCAAATATACAAGTTCGGTAGCAGTCTGTCTAAATCTATCTGTGACTGTTCTTGGGCACGTTGAGCGTCTCTTTGATCCGTTGTTTCTGGTGTATGCTTGAAAAAGTCCCACAGACCATGGGAAACACGATCACACAAGAAGAGAAGTGATCGAACGCAGAGGATTACAGCAGTAGGACCTGCAGCAAACCACTAGCCGAAACCACTCACTCGCGCCCAAGGGAAAGTCACGGCGAGAGAAAACAAAAGACCCCCCACATATGATGCAAATTCCAGGCAAATCATAAGTATGCAGGTTGCACGCAAGCCGGCACTACCGAACATTATGACGGCCAACCATGCGACCGCGGTGGCATTGATTGGCCATGTCCTCTTGCGTCGCCCCCGGGAGGCAAATCACCTACCTCCCGCAGGGGAACCTTGTGACTTGTGTGACTCGTGTGATTAACTGCGCTCACAGGCTTTCACCCCGCAGGGGGTGTGATAAGATGGGTTGTGATAATGTCACCCGTGGGATGAAGTGGCACTCACACACCCCAACCTACAGGAGATTTGATAACAAAGGGGTGTGCATGGCTCCACGGTTTGCCCGTGAGGTTGTGCGCGCCTCTATGGCGGGCGGGGTGGCTGGCTTTTCGGCTGCGGGGGATGTCGTGCGGGCCTCAACAGCACGGGCGGTCGTAGGCACAGTAAGTGCTGCGGGTGTCTCAGGGACCACAGAAAAAAAATGACGTAGTTGGGCGTGGCGCCACCGCTGGAGTCTGACTCACTACAGTCGGGCCGCGATGCCTTCAGCAGTGTCGTGTGCTTTGTTCATCTCCGCTGTGTTCTCGGTCGCCATATGCATAGCTCTTGCCTTTGGGGGTAATCACAGTATACGAAACGTGTGTGCTAGGGGGCTCCGTGATATATATTTGCGACTCAACTTAGAGGGTGTGGTATCTTCTGTGACCGTGTGATACATCGGTGCCCTTTTCAGGGGTACAAGCATATATCACACGGGTGTAGTTTGCTGTGCATGTTCCGTAGGGGTGTGGTATCTTCTGTGGGTATGGCATCTTGTGTCACCTATGGCATTCTATATAACGCGTCGCGTCGCCGCCACTTTTGCCGTGTTGGTATGCATGAGGCGTGGTTCAGCATCTGCGTGCTTGTGAAAACGAGCTGGTGCGTTGATTTGTGTGTGTACTCTACATCTTGCCATCTCTTGCGGGGGGGGGGTGTACTCAAAGTCTTGCATGCCGCAGTCGTTAGACCATTGACCTCGCATCCCTACAAAGCCGGGACGGAGCACGCCGGATTCTCACCGGACCAGGATCTCACATCACCAAGCGCGAAGCGCCGTGAGGTATTCGGCGAGTCGCATGAAGGGTGCGCTGCATCCTGCTAAGGGTGTTCGGCATCTTGTGCTTACTTCCTTGCGTACGGATAACAGCTGCGAATGACTTAATTTATTTTCTGGTGCTTTCACTTCCTGAGACAGTTGTAAGCTGTGTAACTGCCTCGAGGGTGCTTGGCCAATTTCACAACGTGGTGTGATTATCCCTTTGCGCGGCGTGAGGGTCTCGACTCCGCCGGCATGTGTCGGTGCAGGGCTGACTGTGCCAAGCAGTGTCACTCGGAGTGCAAAAGCCCCTAAGGGTATGCCGTGGCACCGCCTTTTACAATGGGAATAAGACACCTGCTTTTCTTGGCTAATTTTTCCACTAGCAAGGCGCACGCACCTCGGTGTGGCCGTTGTCTTGTACCTGCACCGCATCCTTGGAGGACACGGCAAAAAACAAGGCTTCTCATGATACATAGTCTACAGCAGCAGCAGACGCATTTCGACATTTTGACTGGTGGCCATGGAGAAACATCTTGCGCTCCTAAGTCTCCGTATTGCAAGTTCATATGTTATAACAAGGCTACGCATCCATGCATTCCGTAGTCTCAAACCTAGTACAGCAGAAGTAGATTTGTACTGCTGTAGATGTAGATAGAGCCAGCCGACTTCGGCACAACTGCTGTGGTAGTAGTCTAGACTGTGCAGAGCATAGTCTACCCACCTCGTTTTGGATGTTATTACATAGTAGTGTTTTCGCTCTCCGGTGCGGCACACACTCAGAACAGAGCAACCCAAGCGAAGAAACACGTCTTGTTGTAGTGTCATCACACGTTTGAGAAAGGTGCCGAAAAGTTACCTCTCCCCGCCACCGCTTGCTTTACTGCCGTTGCGGTTCGCACCTACTCCATTCTACAGCGCAGTAATTTTCCGTGCTGTACCTGCAGAGGTCATGCATCCAGTCGCACCCTGGCTATTGTATGTCCCCCTTTCGCGTGTGTCAACCCTCGCCTCCTACCAGGTTCCTGTAAACGGCAGCGGGAATGATTCACCTCGAGCCCTGCGCAACTGAAGCAAGGTCAACCTGCTCAGAGCGCGCCAGTCAGGTCATGGAACAGCTGGGATGTATTCTAACATTCCAGCAGCTGTTGATGGCTTTTTTTTGTTCGGGCGGGGCGGGTGAAATTGACGTCGTAAATGAGACGAGGCGTGTGCGATAAGTTGCGCAAGCCCTTGTATTGCAACAGTCTTGCGCAAGCAGGCCGGTTGTCGCGCCTGTCGTGTTGTGTATGTATTGCGTCAAGACGTCAGGACGTCGCGATCCCTTCTTCTGCTGTAGGTATTATAGATGCTCTGACCAGACCACACCACCAAGAGCTGGAGAACTGCTCGAACCCATTGACGATAGCAAGTAGGTATACAGCTGGCTGTGAGTGTAACGTAGTTTGCTGACCTCTGACGTCACGAATCAACCAGTACGCGGGTGGCCAGAGGGGAGGTTGTGGGTAGGTTGTGAGCATCCACAAGGTAGGGGCAGGTTGTAGAGGGGGGCTTCGAAGGAGGCCTCAACCTTGGCCAGATGTCTCGCTTGTACAAGCGCGAATGCGGAAGGTTGAGTGGCAACCACAATGGTAGGCTACACAGGTTGGAGGAAGCCACAACGTTTAAAATCTGGTACCCTGTATGAGATTCTCCCCCGGATCCCTGCCGGGGTAGCCGATTGGCTACCAGTATATACGTATCTGCGATGCTGATGGTGGTGCACGAATCTCGACACACACCAGCGTGAATCATTTGTGGTGCAGCCATGCGTGCATGCACCACAAAGGGACAGCGGGCGGGCGACGGGAGCGACGATGATTGTATGTGCGGCCACCGTTCGAAATTTTGCACTTTACATGAGGGTATTTCTTTCCGTTTTGATGCACAAGCACGAAGAAACAAAATGTGAAGTCTTCCCCCTGTGCTGAGTCAAACACGCACATCTGGGCACCTGGAAGAAGCACACATACATGCGGCATACCCCTGGCGGCGAGCGTATCACACATCACACCGTCGAGCAGCACGACCAGCAGTGTAGACGAAGGATTGTGATACGACAACAGATGGCAAATATTGCGTCAGGCTCACAACATGCCCGCCACATCGGCTCAAGCCTTCCGAGTTTCCCGCCCAAGTGAAAGCAAGCAGCCCAGCATCATCAACCGAAAACAAAAAGACAACGTTGATGGTCATGTATGTGACGTCATGACTTTGATGCGAGAGGCCGAGAGGCTCTGCTGCAGCCCTGCCTGCAGCAGCGACAACAGCATGCAGGGCACGACTTTCTTTGCGAAGACAGTCGGTAGCCCGGCGCAAATACGCAATCTGAACCGATCCCGCGGGGAACCATCCTCATGACGCACAGCGGCAGCATTAGTCGACCCTCACGCCCTCGACGGATTCTCTCGACGATGGTTGGTAGGTGTGATCTGGATTTGGGAAGGTGTGTAATTTGTTGCTGTTGTTATTCTTGTTGTTGTCTTCAAATTAAAAACCGTTCCGATCTCTCTCTACCCAGTACCTTCGTATGTCCGTACTGATCCAACACTCGACGCGGTCCATTCCCGTGGTCGCAGGCTAACTCACCCTAAAAAGGTACACGCAAGATAAAATGGCCCCGACGAGTCCGCAAGTCAATAGAAATCAACGACAGGTATTCTGGAGTCCTCCACTCTCCGTCTGCGCGCTATGCGAGGTAACAACTGAGACTATAGGAGTCACCATCACGNGGCTAACTCACCCTAAAAAGGTACACGCAAGATAAAATGGCCCCGACGAGTCCGCAAGTCAATAGAAATCAACGACAGGTATTCTGGAGTCCTCCACTCTCCGTCTGCGCGCTATGCGAGGTAACAACTGAGACTATAGGAGTCACCATCACGGGCCGGAGAGAATGAGTTACACCCCCTTGGTTCAATCTTGCTTGGTACTTCAAAACGAAAGCAGAGACAATGCCATCTGGCACAGAAAAAGAGAGAAAAAGAAAGAGAAAAGAGAAGAAAATAAAAGGAAACAGCAGTAAGTAAGGAGAGAGAACATTAAATAAAAGAGCGAAGACAGAAAGGGACCAGGCCGAGGGTAACAAGAGATAAGAGACAGAAAAAGGCACACGGTGGAGAAACCCCTGACGACAAGCATTGTTGTTGTTGTTGTTGTTGTTGTTGTTGTTGTTGTTGTTGTTGTTGTTGTTGTTGTTGTTGTTGTTTCTCACATTAGCTCTATAGTCCACAAAAAATGGGGAGTCCATGGTCTCAAAACCCGGCACATTCGACGCCGCGGGGAAACAAAACCAAAATAGGGTACAAACCACTCGGAAAAAGAAAACTAAATGATGGAAAGAAAAGAACATGTATCGCACAGACCGTTCGAGGAAAGAGCCCTCGGAAACCGATCAAAATAAAAACACAAACAAAAGTTTTCTCTTACGCTATGATTCCATTGTTAATCTGTCTCTGACTCTTTTCTATGTGGACTCATTGTGTCATATTAAAAAAAAATACAAAAAAAAATAAAGGAGGACGCTTCCCACACCCGCCCAAGAGGAAAATTCATAGCCTGGTTTGGTGTGTTTGTTGTTTTGTGTAATGGTTTTGGAGTAAGACAAAGTGGCATCGTAACTCGCTTCGCTCGCAGACACACTTCACGGGGTTCCGGACGCGGTGCAGTGTGCGGTTACAGTGCGGTGTGACTCGCTTCGCTCGAAGGCAATTGGCGAGGTTTCGGGCGCGGTGCAGTGTGCGGTCACAGTGTTGTGTGACTCGCTTCGCTCGAAGGCACTTAACGGGGTTCCGAGCGTCGTGCAGTGTGCGTCACAGGAGTGCCGTGTTGCTCGCATGTACTCAAAGGCAGTTTGTCCGCAGCAGCGTCATGTTCCCCCTTTCGAGGAGTTCCTTATTATGTGCTTCGTCACACA